AGCGAGCCGTATCTGGAGTGAGTTTATATTTTAACACACGTCTGACGGTCTACGTTCACGCGCTCTAACGCCACACCTCTGGTTTCTCGCCCCGGTGAACGCTGGTTCATGTGTGTGAGCGACACGTTGCATCCTGCTGCTGTACACACTCCCCTACGCCACAGCAGGTGGTGGAAGCTCACTACAACACAGATGTTGGCTCCTGTTTGCGGTCAGTGTTTGGAGTGTTGGTTGGGTTAGGCTTAAATCCTTTCTGTCGTAAACTACCAACACGTGTTTTTGGCTCTTTTACACGAAGAATCGGGAAAGGTTTTAGTGATTATCTTCTGTTTTCTTTAACCTAACCCTGCCAGGAGTCCAGATCTCTCCGAAAACAGCTGTTTCTTGTAATGCTGATGGGAACCGTTTTCCATATCTCCATGGTAACAAAAGGGCCTTTGCTGTTTTTGGCAGGAATCTGAGAAAGACACTGACCTGAACAACAGCAAGGAGCCGGTGGACCAAGAGGAGGCTCTCCGAGCATACCACGGGCTGTGTGAGTCTAAAAAGTAAGTGTGTGTCCTCTGGACGTCCCGAGGACCTGCGTCGAACTACACAATTCACACTTTCTAAACGCAAACTCAAGCCTTATGTGAGAGATGATGATGACATGTGTAGGCAGCGCCGTAGGTTATAAGCTCAGCGAAACACACTCACTCGCAGGTTTGGGCCTCGTTCTGATAAAGTAGAGCTCACCTTGTTGTGCACGGCCCACCTAGGGACTAGCTATAGCAGATGTAGTATGCTGCAGGTTGCATCTGACACTGAGGAGGTCTAGATGGACGAGACCGTAAATGTGAGGGTGAGCACCCTACAAGCTGTTTTAACTAACAGCACCTGTCAGAGCAACAGGTGAGCAGCACAGGTGCAACCGTCTTTTCTCTGTTGCATTAGGGAGTTACGATCATTTATGCTTTATTTACACACTTCTGTTGTTCTTGTCCCCGTTTACATGGTTGCTTGTCTCTCGTGCTCGTCCATGTTGTCTTGCCTGTTCGTGTTTTTCTGCTTCTGGCAACTGGACTAGGAGTTCAGGATGAAGAATACTTGCCTTGAAAAGAATCTGAAGCTCTAAGGACCGCCCACAGCAGTGTTCAGATACGAGTTGAAAGGTGGAACCGAGCCGCGGTCAGGTGGAGCAACAAAACAAAAAGAAAACCGACAAAAAACGTTCGGACTTCAGTTATCAGTGATGTCATCGCTGCTGCGACACCCACTGTCTCCGTAGGTGCATGAGTCCTGCCAGCGTTTTCTCTTCTTAATCGTGTTAGAAAAACTTTTGAATCTTTTACTGAGCTGCATCATAACATTATGACCACTGTGCAGCTTTAAAGGCGAAGAGTCGGTTTGTTTGCTTTCTTGATTTCAACTTTCGTGTCACAAACAACCTGGGAGATGCCCAATGAGAACCCCCTGATGGCTCCTCCCACTTCCCTAACATCCACGTGTTGCCACGGTAACCACACTGATTGACAGCACTGCCCTTAGACAACAAATATTTCCAAACAAGAGCAAAACTGACTCCAATCAGAAGGTCCGACAGCTCCTTAAGTGAAAACTGTAAACGACAACGGATGCAACGTTCAGTCCGTTACTCGTTGGACTTTTTAGATTCAGTTTTATGTCTGATCGTTTTTTTTTTCTCTAAAGCTGACCGGGACTTCTCCTCTTCCCGACCACATTTACACATCGTTCCCGCTGAGCGGAGAGAACCAGTACCTTGGAATTGCTGTCACTGATGTTTTGTTTTCCTAAAGAATACAGGGATTCCCCTCATGAGCTTTAGAGGAAGTGGTGTGACCAAATATGGGTAACTGAGGGTGTTTCTTTATGTAAATGACTGAACGGACACCAGCAGCTGGGGACCCACATGTGGGAGGAGCATGTGAATGAGAGAGAGGCCACCACATGAATCGTAGGCCATTCGTGCGAACGTTGTAAAATCTGTGGTTAGGGTGGAATACAGGACGGTTCCTCCGAACGAGGGCCCTGGTTTAGCTGGTTGCACTTGGCTAAGGTCGCCCACTGAGAGTCCTCATGGAGAGGTTTGAGAGGGGAGGAACTTGCTGTTCACTGTCTCTAAGTGCTATGGTTGATTTCTGATCGTCCAACCGAGACTACTAGACAACAGGTTTACTTACAGATGGGTTCAGGCAGCGTAGCCTGTACCATCTGGGTTCCTCCTCCAGTCTAGTCTAAGTTGTTGTTGTCTCCTGTCTTTCCTCTGCTGCTACTGGACACCAGTAACCTTCAGGACTGGTGCCGGCTGAACGAAGACGGGGAACTGGGTCTGGCCTACCAGGGTCTCAAACAAGTAGCCAGGTGTCTGTGTGCTCCTTCCTAGATTCCTCAGATTCCCAAGTCCTAGTGGTTCTGGTAGTGTGTGAAAACCATTCGAGTCCCCATTTTTCCAACTTTATCTCTTCAGATGAATCTCTCTCTCGCTCTCTCTCGCTCTCTCTCTCTCTCTCCCTCTCCCCTAAGTAGTTTCAGACTGGCCACTAGCTACATAGTTGCCCTAGGCACAATTTAATGGGTCCTGACTGGTGAATTTATAAGCACCAAAGTGCTGATCAGACTACGCGCCCTTTTGAGTCCCTGGAGATGGTGCAGGAGAGCACTCCTCCTGGTGACTCCCTTGGTTTTCTGCGGGATTTCAGGAGGCAAAGCTTGTGGACTTTGGGTTGGGCTCTCCTGTCTCTGGAGCCGAGTTGTCTGAGGTGGTCAAAAACTCCTTGGTGGCAAGGCCCCAGGGATGGATGAGATCTGCGCAGAGATCCTTAAGGCTCTGGATGTTGGGGTCAGTTCCACTGGATTGGCATACCAGGGTGTTGGTCCCCCCCCCCCGGGTGTTGAGCCCCGGGGAGCACCAGATGTAAGAGGAGCCTCCTTGGAACCAAAGTCAGCAACACTGACAGACACTGACCTGTTGGACAAATATGAGTTAATCCAGCCAACCAATCCCTGTGAGAAATAGGGTACCAGGCTCCTTGATACGGGCTGTTAGGTCCCTGTATGGTCGGTGTCAGAGCTTGTTACGCATTGCCGGCACTAAGTTGGACACACCCTCGGTGAAAGTTGGACTCTGCCAAAACTGCCCGTTGTAGCCCATTCTGTTCATAACTTTGATGGACGGGATTTCTAGACGCAGCCAAGGTGTTGAGGGGATCAGTTTTGGTGGCTTACAAATCAGGTCTTTTTGCAGATGATGTGGTCCTGTTGGCATCATCAGATACTTTTCTCAAGCTTTAGCTGGAGTGGTTTCCAGCCAGGTGTTTAGCAGCTGGGATGAGATTCAGCTCCGCCAAATCCAAGACCATGGTCTTAAATTGGAAAAGGGTAGAAGGCCTTCTCCAAGTTAGGGATGAGGTCCTGCCTCAAGTGGAGGAGTTTAAAAGCATTTTCAGACTTGGGGCAGCATGAATCGGGCTGGGTGGCATTGGTCAAATACAAGCCCACCTAGATGTGAACCGTTTATAAGCTACCCAGTCCGGTCTCTGCTGGCTCGGATGTGAAATGGCCAAAAGTATCTCTGAGCCTTGTTCACAGGTGAGGGAATGATGGAGCGGGAGATGGAGGAGCAAGTTTAGGTTGCCTCCTGGATGTCTCCCTGGTGACTTTTTCCACAACTGGGAGGAGACCCAAAGGAAAACCCAAGGCACACTGGAGGGGCGATGTTTCTCGGCTAGCCAGGGAACACCTTGGGATTCCCCGGGGGAGTGACTGGGGAGAGGGAAGTCTCCTCCTTCCTCATGACCTAAATGGATGGATTATAAATGACCCACACTGGTATAGTGCCTTTCGGAGTCGGAGGACTCAGAGGGAATTCACTCTACAGTGTAACATTCATCCATTCACACGCCATTGGCGATGAGCTACAGTGTAGCCACAGGTGCCCTGGGGCACACCGATGGTAGCTAGGCTGTCGAACGCAGGTTGTACCAGTCCCTCTGACCACCCTCTGACAAGGTGGGTTAGGTGTATTGCCCAAAGACACAAATGCAGGGAGCCGGGGTCAATCCTACAACCCTTTTTCATTTAGTTATAAGCGTCAGAGCAACCGCCGGATGTTGGTGGTATCACTTCCTGTTATCCACGGGCAGCAGAGGGTGATATCGTCCAATGAAACTGGATAACAAACACAGTACGAACGTAACAAATACATCCTAAACCCTCCGGTTACTGGACAGCCTGCTCTACCTCCTGAGCCCCTGCTGTCCTAAGATGCACCAGTTTGGTCGACGACCTTCCATGGCATGGGGGGTTGCGCTCTAGCCAGTGGCCAGTAAAGATTGTATGCAAGTTCACTTGTTTGCGTGTCAGTCAGTCTCTCTAAGCCTTCTTCCTGTAGTCCGTCTCTCTGACTCGCTTTTTCCAAGTTTGTCTCCTGATGAAAAGAGGAATGGGTCCGTCCAGAGGCTTGGTCTCGTTTATACTTCTCTGTCTGTGCCCTAACCCTAAGAGTCGGTGCAAGGACTCTCTGACAGGCTCACAGGGGATCCTGTGATATCCCTTGAAAGAGACAGAAACTGCAAGTCTGTGATTGGTCAGGACGATGCTTCCTGTAAATGTGTCAACAGCACCGCCTCTGCCCCGTCGATATGGAGCATGTCGGTGTGGAGCTGACGGAGAAGTATAGATTAGGCCTTGGTCAGTCTCTGAGTGGGTTCCGTCGCTGCCATGTCTCAGTGACTTTCTGGTCCATTCAGGCTCCTGGAGGCTCAGCTCCAGACTCAGACCCGGCAGCACCGGGACGAGCTGGAGGCTCTACACACTCAGATCGAGCTGCTGAAGGACGACCTTGAGAAGAAGCAGGAGATCCTGAACTACACAGCCTCTCTGTCTCCAGAGGCCAAGGTGGAGTACAGTGTCCAGCAGGAGATCACTCGGCTCACCAACGATAACCTGGTCAGGACCTTTAGCATCATGCAGAACTCAGCAGAGTTCACGGTCGTTCTGATCTGTTTGTTTATCTCTCAGGACCTCAAGGAGCTGGTGGAGAAACTAGAGAAGAATGAACGGAAGCTGAAGAAGCAGCTGAGGATCTACATGAAGAAGGTCCAGGAGTTGGAAGGTAACAGCACAAGCAATCAGGATGGTGGTCCAAAGCTGCTGCTGACTGACCATGCTGTTGTTGTTGTCGTAGTGTCTCACGCCGCTGTTCAGAACAGAACCACCAGACCAGAGCTGAGCCGGCAGATCACCGTTCAGAGGAAGGAGAAGGACTTTGAGGGGATGCTGGAGTACAGCAAGCAGGACGAGGTCCGACTCATCAAGACTCTCATAACTGGTGAGACCATCAGAACCAGCATGGAAAAAATGGCTGCCTTTTGCAACTGGCTTGTTGGGCCTCCAGTATGAGCAAGTTCACAGAGAAACCGGCTGATCAGAGGCGAGATGTCCTATCAGGAAATATTATAGAGTAAGACTCCAAATCCCGCCCTCTTCTGCTCTCCTCGCCTCCAACTACGTTCCGAAACAGGCGTTCCGAAGCTTCCCCACACCGACCGACTCACGAGGAGTTCTAGACAGATGAGGCGTAGGAAAGGGCCACGCGGCCTAAAATCTGTATCGCGATAAATGTAGAGGCACATGCGGTAAAGAGATAAATCCTTTCCTTCTGGTTGGACTTGTGAAAGTGTTGCTGAATGGTCGCACACACCAGAATAAGTTTCTGTATAAATAATGATTATAAATTCAATTCAGTTCAATTTTATTTATATAGCGTCAAATCATAATAAACATTCCAATTCAGGTCAGTTCATTAAGCCAATCAGAAAAAATGTTTCCTATATAAGGAACCCAGCAGGTTGCATCGAGTCACTGACTAGTGTCGGTGACTATACAGCAATCCTCATACTAAGCAAGCATGCAGCGACAGTGGAGAGGAAAACTCCCTTTTAACAGGAAGAAACCTCCAGAGAATCCTGGCTCAGTATAAGCAGCCATCCTCCACGACTCACTGGGGATGGAGACAGAGCGCACACGCACACGCACACACACACACACACACACACACACACACACACACACACACACACACACACACACACACACACACACACACACACACACACCAAGCAATGTGTCTATGGTTACATTGTGATCTCTTAGTAAATATTCTGTTTGGTGAGAGATAAACTTTATTGTATTTATCCTAGTGAATCTATAATTAAACTGATAAACTAGTAGTAGCACATCCAACGTCAAGGAAAGCAAAAAGTTATCATCAGGAGAGGGAGAATGTTTAAGTGGTTAGCAGCAGTGTGCTAGTCGATGGCCCCCTCCATGAGGCCACCACAGCTCAGCAGAACATCGTTGTAGCTTCTTCTGGGGAGAAAAACACTTAGAGAAAAAATAAAGTTAACAGCTGAAATAGCAGGAAATAATACAGGTAAAGAGCAGATTGTAGAAGAAAGTAGTCGAGTGTGAAAAGTGGTCAGTGTGTCCTCCAGCAGTCTAAGCCTATAGCAGAATAACTACAGAGATAACTCTGGATAACCTAGCCTTTTAGATGGAGGCATGTTGGAGGCAGGGAAAGGGAGAGCCGTCTTTACTGACTGTACACTCCACCTCCCTCTACTCCCCCACTGGTTCAGATCTGGGCTAACATCAGATTTTAACCATAGGCCCTATCAAATAAAAATGTTTTAAGCCTAGTCTTAAAAGTAGACAAGGCGTCTGCCTCACGGACTAAAGCTGGGAGCTGGTTCCATAGGAGAGGAGCCTGATAACTAAAAGATCTGCCTCCCATCCTAATTTTAGATATTCTGGGAACCACCAGTAAACCTGCAGTCTGAGAGCGAAGTGCTCGGTTAGGAACGTATGGAACAATCAGATCACTGATGTATGATGGAGCTTGATTATTAAGAGCTTTATATGTGAGAAGAAGGATCTAAAAATCTATTCTGAATTTAACAGGTAGCCAATGTAGGGAAGCTAAGACAGGAGCGATGTGATCTCTCTTTTTAATTCTCATCAGAACTCTAGCTGCAGCATTTTGGACAAGCTGAAGACTTTTAACTACATTCTGTGGACTTCCTGAGAGTAATGAATTACAGTAATCCAGTCTTGATGTAATAAATGCATGAACTCGTTTTTCAGCATCACTCCTGGAAAGTATGCTTCTAATCTTAGCAATATTCCGAAGGTGGAAAAAGGAAATCCTACAAACCTGTTTAACGTGGGATCTGAATGACATGTCCTGGTCAAAGATAACACCAAGGTTCCTTACTTTGTTCTCGGAGATTAATGTAATGCCATTCAGGTCAGGTGATTGGCTAAGCAATTTCCTTTTCTGGATTTCTGGTCCAAAGATGAGAACTTCCGTCTTGTCTTGATTTAAAAGCAAAAAGTTTAGAGTCATCCAATTTTTTATGTCCTCAAGAGAAGCCTGTAATCTACCCAACCGATTAGGTTCATCAGGGTTAATGGATAAATATAACTGAGTGAGTAGCATATATATAGTAAAAAGAATTGGTCCAAGCACTGAACCCTGTGGTACTCCACAAGTAACCCTGGAGTATGAAGAAGATTTGTCATGTACATTAGCTTCTGATAGATAATAGTCTCCTACACTTATCTTCTGCAGTAGCTTCTGATAGAAAACAGACAGTGGAACTATAGGATTAGAAGATCCTGACAGATCTACGTCACAATGTCACTAACATTCATGGACTCACCCATCTGACTCACGACGGGGAAGCTGTTGTTGGTTTAGCGTCCAGGAAACAGCAGAGAACGTCTCTGCTAGTAGAAGCTAACCGTTAGCATTTGCAATCCACCACACAGCAGAACTCCTCCATGCTCGCGTTATTTCTGGAGATAAAACATCAACGTTGCAGAGCAGACAGTCAGTGGTAGAGTCGTGCTGCTGTTATTCAGTCTGAGGTGAGATGTCCACATATCAGGAAATAAGAGTTCAAAACTTGCAAAGACTTGTAAAACAGTGGACCACAACATCCGTCTGGACAGACTCAAACTGGGTGGGACTATCAGGCACAGTGCTTGTCTGGTTCCAGTCCTATCTCAAAGATAGGGACTATGTTGTCTCTATTAGGGACTACCAATCAAAGCGGATCACCATGACATGTGGGGTCCCCCAAGGCTCAGCTCTAGGACCACTTCATATCATGTCCTGATAACTGTAAAGCACATTGTCTCTGTGTTTGAGATGTGCTCTAGAATAAAGCTGACTTGCCTTCTAGAGCTTAAAAATCAGTTTTTTTAACTACGACTCACAGGGTATTCATTTCCACCAAAGACCACTGCAGATGTACAGATTAAACAAGTACTCAACACTTTTAAAGGTATTTTAAAAGTTTTAAACTGTAATTTAAGAATTGCAGACATTACTGTAATTTTACAAATAAATGTTTCTAAGCAGAATCGCTGAAAAGGAGCAATCGATATCTTCAGGGGTTCAAACCCTTTATAGGCTGTAATCATGCACGTTATTACATCATAGGGTGTGTCTTTGTGATTTCTATGTGTTAATACAAATGGAAAATCAATTCATATAACGTAATCGTGAAACTGTGATTATTTCTCATGCTATAATCGTACCACCAACGTTTGTAATGGTTGCAGCCCTAGTCCACACCACCCAGCCTCAGCTTGTGACGAGCGAAATAAAAGACGAGATTTCTGTTGTTGTTGCACACAGATGTGAGGAGAAGATGGCAGGTAGCAGTAGGTTTGGACCAGTCTGCTCACTGAACAGTGGGTCATACAGAGACGGGCCAAACTAGACCAGAACCCCATTGGCCTCGTCAGACTTGGACTTCCCTCCATCAGATCTAGTTACCTGTAACTCAAGGTTCTTTCAGATCAGCTGATGGATGTTTTTATCTGTGTGCCAGACATCAAACCCAGCTCCGTGTCAGCCACGGTCCCGTGTCTGCCCGCCTACATTCTCTTCATGTGCATCCGCCACGCAGACTACATCAACGATGACCAGAAGGTGGAGTCTCTGCTCACCTCAACCATCAACGCCATCAAGAAAGTCCTGAAGGTCTGCTCCCTACACACACACACACACACACACACACACACACACACACACACACACTGTGGTAACATTCTCCTGGTTCTGCAGAAGAACAATGAGGACTTTGAGATGATGTCGTTCTGGTTGGCCAACAGCAGCCGGCTGCTTCACTGCCTCAAACAGTACAGTGGAGACGAGGTGAGAGCTGCTGTCGACAACAGGAAGCTGCTGTTAAACCATGAATGACCCACACTTCCCACTTCCTGTCTGACATCTCCCTTGACTTGTCTTTCTCAGACCTTCATGACCCAGAACACGCCTAAACAAAACGAACACTGTCTGAAGAACTTTGACCTGGCCGAGTATCGGCAGGTTTTGAGTGACCTGTCTATCCAGATTTACCAGCAGCTCATTAAGGTTGGCGAGGGCATCATCCACCCCATGATTGGTGAGTTCCTGTTGGGTTCCTGTAGAGTTCCTGGAAGTTCATTGGAGAACTCCTGTTGTGGCCCAAAGAGATCTACTGGAATGTGAAGGTTAAAGGAACATTCAGCCATTGCAGAGTGTTTAAACGTTATAAGTTCATCTGACCTTGATGCTGTCGGTTTAACAACAAATGATTGATCATATAAAATGCTGTGGGTGCATACCGTCCCTCTGGGTTTATTTACATGGTTTTCTGTTGTTATTTATGATAAATAAAAAATAAAACCCATTTAAAGGTGGAATTCTGTAGGTATTTATATGGATTCAGTCGTTTATTGGAAGGAGTTTTGTCTTGATTCATGCATTTATAAGGAGTTTTGTGTTTATTATAATGGAAATTCTAGTTATTTCCAGGTAATTGTCTGGTTATGGGCATAATTTGTTGTTGTACATGATTTCCAGGTTTTCTTAAGGGTTTATGTGGTTACTTACATGAAAACATTTTCACTGACATGTTATGAAGTAGACAAGTTTTCTTCTTTGCTTGGAATTATGTGGAGTCATTATTTCCTGTGGAAGCAGCAGCAGCAGCAGCTCCTCGTGAGGGGTTTGGCCCAGCGCTTTCATTGCAGATCTTTGATTTTTTCATTTGAACAATCAGGCTAAAAACAAAACGATGTTGACCACTGCCCGGCCAAAAATGTCACACACTAATATTTCATTGGACCGCCTTTAGCTTTGAATGCGACACACATTCGCAGTGACGTTATTTCGATAAGCTCTGTCAGTGTCACCAGGTTGAGTTCCATCTAGGGATGGGCAATATGTCGGCATCAGCATCTGTATCGGCCAATGTCATTTTTTAACATATCCGTATCGGTTCGATAAATTAAACCGGGCCGATATTAACAACTGATATTTTTTCCATCTCGTCTCCATTTTTTTGCCTGTTTCGGGGGGGGGGGGGGGGGGGGGGGGGACATAAAAGGGTCTTCAGCTGTTGTTTAACTAATTCACTGCCAATGACGACTTTAGCATGTTTTACTGTGTGGGCGTCGGACGAACCCCCACACCGTGAGAACAAACATCTCAGCTCTAAAGCCGATCTTCATCCGCATATGTCACACGTCACGTGATCAGGAAGCAGAACATCCACGGGTTAGGAGATCGTTTTGGGCCGCTGCTGTAAAAAAAGTGAGGCGCGAACCGGAAAAACTTCTGCCGGTCACAATTCAACAACAAAATAGGAAAGAACTGATAACGCTCAACGCGCGAATTCTTCCTGATATAAGAGGTGAATCTCCGCTTTGTTTTGGTTGTTTTGGCGTCTACATCATCCTAGCGCGCAACGTTCTGTCACTCTTAAAAAAACAGTAAAAATGGTGAGAAACACTGGTAGCAAAAGGCCTTACCGATCAGGAAACGGCTGGCAGCAAATGAGTTAAAAGTGTTCAGACTGTCAACGCTGCATAAGGATAAAGGAAGATCATTCCAGAGTCAGGGTGCAACAGTCTAGAAGGAGCGATCATCTTGACTTTTATATCTGGTTTTGGAACTTCTAGGAGGTTCTGGTGGGTGGACCTGATGGCTCCGGTTGGAGCATAAGGCTTTAACTGGTCAGTAATATAGGGAGGAGCTTGACCATATAGAGCCCTGAAAGTTCTAGTCAGGACTCTAAAATGAACTCTAAAGTTAACGGGTAACCAGTGCAGAGGCATCAGAATAGGAGTGATGTGAGCTCTTCTGTTTGCTCCAGTTAGGAGCCTCGCTGCAGAGTTCTGGACCAACTGAAGGCGGTCAAGGGCTTTTTGTTAAAACATGTGAAAAGTGTGTTACAGTAATCTAGACGGGAGGAGATAAAGGCATGGAGAACCATTTCAAGTTCATGTTTTGACACCAACCTTCACAGTTTGGAGAAATTTCTTAAATGATAAAAACTGTTTCGGACCAAAGTTTTTGAGTGACCTTCAAGAGACATTGACTGGTCAAAAACACCCAAATGCCTTAAGTTTGTCTTGATGGCAGAGGATAAATGACCAAGTTTTAGACTAATCAGGGGAACCATGCTCTCAGGGGCAATGATCAGACATTCAGTCTTTTCAGAGTTTAACTGAAGGAAGTCATCTTCTAGCCAGCTGGTGATCGCTGATAGAAACTCTAGTAATTCAGACAGTTTATAGAACTCAGAATCCTTAAAGGAGCAGTACAGCTGAATGTCATCTGCATATCAGTGATGAGAGACATTATGAAAAGAATCAAGTATCTGTCCAAGAGGGTGTATGTACAGCAGAAACAACAGTGGACTCAAAACAGAGCCTTGGGGTACCCCACAGAACAGATCAGTAGAATCTGACATGATGTGGTTTCTACAGACACTGTACCTTCTGTTAGAAAGGTATGATCTAAACCAGTCTAGAACAGCTTTCTAGTTAGTCTCTGATTTTTAAAGCGGAGATTGCGTGAAGCTGTGCATACTCCATGTTTGATAGATCACAAACCTAATTGGCGTGAGTACATTTTTTTCACTGAGCTTAAGTACGGTTTTAGTAAGGATTCTATGCAATGTTTCGTAAATGAGACCCGTGACCTGTATTGGAATGTTTATTGTGTGGAGAGCCTTGAGACGACTCTTGTTGTGATTTGGTGTAATATAAATAAACTTGAATTGAATTGAATGTTGACCCCATCTTTGTGCCTCTGCCCCATTCCCACAGTGTCGGCCATGTTGGAGAGTGAGAGCATCCCGAGCCTGGCAGGTGTGAAGCCAATGGGCTACAGGAACCGTTCCCACAGCTTGGATACAGATGCAGATGGGCCCACCAGTTACACCCTGCAGGCTCTAATTCGACAGCTAAGCCAGTTCACCAGCATCATGCGAGACCACGGACTTGACCCGGAGATCGTGGGGCAGGTGGTTAGACAACTATTTCACTGCATCAACGCTGTCACCTTAAACAACCTTCTTCTGCGGAAAGACGTCTGCTCCTGGAGCACCGGCATGCAGCTCAGGTACCGGACCAGGTTTCAGGTTGGAGCCTGTAATGCCTCCAGCTGTGTACCACACTATACCACACTATGCTATTCTTTACCACACCACACTATGCCATACTATATCACACCATACTATACAATACTGTACTACACACCACACTACACCATGCCATACTATACCACACCATACTATATCATATTATATCGCACCACACCACTCCATACCATACCACATAATACTATACTACACTTTACCACACCACTCTATACCATACTATATCACACCATACTATACAATACTATACTAAACCATACTATACCACGCCATATTATATCATGCCACACCATACCATACCACATCATACTATACCACACCATACTATACCATACCACACCATACTATACCATACTATATCACACCACACCATACCATACCACATTATACTATACCACACCATACAATACAAAACTATACCATACCACACTATGCCATACTATATCACACCACACCACACCATACCATACCACATAATACTATTCCACACTATACTACACTTTACCACACCACTCTATACCATACTATATCACACCATACTATACAATACTATACTACACCAAACTATACCATACCACATAATACTATACCACACCATACTATACCATACTACAGTGGGGCAAAAAAGTATTTAGTCAGCCACCAATTGTGCAAGTTCTCCCACTTAAAATGATGACAGAGGTCAGTAATTTACATCATAGGTACACTTCCAACTGTGAGAGACAGAATGTGAAAAAAAAAATCCATGAATTCACATGGCAGGATCACACCACACCATACCATACCACATAATACTATACCACACCATACTATACCATACTATACAATACTATACCATACCACACCATACTATCATTCTATTCTATTGGGGCGACGGTGGCACAAGAGTTAAGTGGTCGCCTCGCAATCGGAAGGTTGCAGGTTCGAGCCCCGCTCAGTCTGTCGCAGTCGTTGTGTCCTTGGGCAAGACACTTAACCCACCTTGCCTGCTGGTGGTGGTCAGAGGGACCGGTGCGCCAGTGCTCGGCAGCCTCGCCTCTGTCAGTGCGCCCTAGGGCAGCTGTGGCTACACTGTAGTACATCCCCACCAGTGTGTGAATGTGTGTGTGAATGGGTGAATGACTGATTGTGTTGTAAAGTGCCTTGGGGGGTTCCAGGACTCTAGAAGGTGCTATATCAAATACATGCCATTTACCATTTACCATTTATTCAATTCAACTTAATTTCTAAAGCGCCAAACCACGACAAGAGTCGTCTCAAGGACCTTCACACAGTAAACAACACAGGTCAGGTCATTAAGCCAGTCAGTAACAAGTTTCCTATATAAGGAACCCAGCAGGTCGCATCGAGTCACTGACTAGTGTCAGAGTCTTTACAGCAATCCTCATACTAAGCAAGCATGCAGCGACAGTGGAGAGGAAAACTCCCTTTTAACAGGAAGAAACCTCCAGAGGATCCTGGCTCGGCATACGCAGCCATCCAACTCGACTCACTGGAGATGGAGAAGACACACACGCACACACACACACACACACACACACACACACACACACACACACACACACACACACAATGGTTACATTGTGATTTCTTAGTAAATATTCTGTTTGGTGAGAGATAAACTTTATTGTATTTGTCCGAGTGAATCTATAATTAAACGGGTAAACTAGTAGTAGCACATTCAATGTCAAAGAGAGTAAAAAGTTATTATCAGGAGAGGGAGAATGTTTAAGTGGTTAGCAGCAGTGTGCTAGACGATGGCCCCCTCCATGAGGCCACCACAGCTCAGCAGAACATCATTGTAGCTTCTTCTGGGGAGAAAAACACTTAGAGAAAAAATAAGTTTACAGCTGAAATAGCAGGAAATAATGCAGTTAAAGAGCAGATTGTAGAAGAAAGTAGTCGAGTGTGGAAAAGTGGTCAGTGTGTCCTCCAGCAGTCTAAGCCTATAGCAGCATAACTACAGGGATAACTCTGGATAACCTAGCATTTTAGATGGAGGCATGTTGGAGGCAGGGAAAGGGAGAGCCGTCTATACTATACCACACCATACTGTGGCCTGTATTTGATATAGCGCCTTCTAGAGTTCTGGAACCCTCCAAGGCACTTTACAACATGGTCAGTTGTAATGTTGGTAAAGGCTAACAAATTTATTTATCCACAGCATTATCAGAGATCAAATAGTCGGGTGTACAGCAGCTTCCTCTGCTAGGAATGTTGTGTTCTACCCTGTACCAAAACAATTCCATCGTCTGACTTCTCTTCTGCCACTATTGACATCCTGCTGCAACTCTAGGGTCTTATGCAGAAGACGAGACTTTTCCCTTTTTAATAAAATGAATCTTAATTTCTCTCATTGATTCTTCACAAGTTAGTTATACTTAGAACATTTCTTGTAGATAATTTTATCTAAAGTGATTTTTTAATTGATTCATCAACATTAATGTTTATTTCATAACTTATTTCAGATCTTAAATACACTAAATGAGTCTACTTGGTGATTTAATAATGATTAATTATCAGCCGCATATTAATATCAGTGGATTAACAGACCTGATCCATATATTAAGTGAAATTAGCTTTCTAAGAAAGGGGCCAAGGGTCTTGGTAAACACCTAGACACATGTCTCACATCTGATTGGTCAACATTAATAAATAACCATTTCATCAAAGATGAATCACTTCCTACTGTAGCCCGCTCTACCAGAGCCCTGAGTTCAGCCAAAGCTCACAGCTCGTGCTAAATGACCATCCTGGGGAATCTAACCAGATGTTTCAGTGGAATAACTTCAGCAGCGAATGAACCGTCCTTATGAATCAACTATTATTATTTACTCAACCCACCACCCACTCACCAGACGTGAAACCGTCCACCAGATGCCACCTGGGAAGTATCTTCTGACCAGTCGTGTTTGCTGAGGGTGTCTATGACCTTCAGGTGCATCAGAAGTCCACTCACTCGCTCTGAGACGGCTTCACCTGCAGACCGGATCTCCAGAGCTTCATGATCCAGGGTGTGTAGACTAAACAATGGTGTCAGAGTGGTTGGTATTCATCTGATAACTTGTTATTGTGCCACACCACACTGTACCACACCACACCATACCATACTATACCACACCACACCACACCATACTATACCACACCATACCATACTATACCACACCACACTGAGCCATACTGTACCACACCATACCATACTATACCACGCCACACCATACTATACCACACCATAACATACTATAGCATACAATACCATACCATACTATACCACACCATACCATACTATACCACACCATACCATACTATACCACACCACACTGTACCATACTATACCACACCACACTATACTATACCACACCACACTGAGCCATACTGTACCACACCATACCTTACCATACCATACTATACCACACCATACCATACCACACCACACCTTCCCATATCATACCACACCATACATACCATACTATTCCACACCATACCATACCATACTATACCACACCATACCATACCCACACCACACCACACCTTCCCATATCATACCACACCATACATACCATACTATTCCACACCATACCATACCATACTATACCACACCATACCCACACCACACCACACCTTCCCATATCATACCACACCATACCATACTATACCACACCATACATACCATACTATTCCACACCATACCATACCATACTGCACCACACCATACCATACCACACCACACCACACCTTCCCATATCATACCACACCATACCATACTATACCACACCATACATACCATACTATTCCACACCATACATACCATACTATTCCACACCATACCATACTATACCACACCACACTGTACCATACTATACCACACCATACTATACTATACTACACCACACTGAACCATACTATACCACACTACACCATACATACCATACCATACCATGCCATACCACACCTTACCATACCATACCACACCACACTGTACCATACTATACCACACCATACTATACTATACTACACCACACCACACTGAACCATACTATACCACACTACACCATACCTTACCATACCACACCACACTGTACTGCACCATACCATACTATACCACACCATACATACCATACTATTCCACACCACACCATACCATATCATACTATACCACACCACACTGTACCATACTATTCCACACTACACTACACCATACCATACTATACCACACCATACTATACTATACTATACTACACCACACCACACTATACCATACCATATTATACCACACAAGAAAACAAAACAAAGAGCTTGAAAAGGAAAATGTATGTAGATTTATCCCACCACACCTTTTAACTTTATAAAGAAATACTTTATAAGCATGTATTATTTATATACTTGATACAATTCAGATCACCTTCAAAACTCAGCCCCACACCCAGGGCCATGGCAAAATAGACTTGGAACTCCCAACACACACACACACACGGCTCTTCTGGAAGCCTCTGTGTGATTCCTACCCTGATTACACGTTACATTTTGGTGATGATAATATCATTAGACCAATTCCATGGTCTTGTCACTTCTGGAAGTAACCAGTATCAGCTGGACTGAGCCGTGTACATGCAGAGGAAGTCGTCTCCTACTGCATTATCTGGGTACTTATTCTGGATTGGACCCAGTTCACTTCCAGTCAGACTAACGTGTTTACATGCATTTAAAATGACTTCAGTCAATTTAAGACCATAGTTGAGTTTTCTGATGCTCAGGTAAACGTGTGTTTGTGTTCAGGTACAACACCAGCCAGCTGGAGGAGTGGCTCAGAGCCAACAACCTGTTCCAGAGCAAAGCCTCCAGCACGTTGGACCCCATCATCCAGGCTGCCCAGTTGCTGCAGGTCAAGAAGAAAACCTCTCAGGATGCTGAGGCCATCTGCTCACTCTGCACGGCACTGAACGTACAGCAGGTCAGTGAACACATCACAGTGTTAGTCAGTACACCAGCAGGTCAGTAAATGCACCCTGGTCTGGTTCATTCTACTTATGAAGTTACTTATAGAAAGTCAGTATTTGGGCTGTGTGGTGGTGCTGCGGAAAGTGCTCTTACCTCACAGGTAGATGGTTGCAGGTTCAAATCCTGCAGCAGCCTTTCTGAGTAGAGTTAGTTTGTTCTCTGCATGGTCTCTGTGTGTCCTTGTGATGGACAAGGGACCTGTCCCTTGTCTCTCATCTTGTGACTGATGGAGATGGACACCAGTGCCCTGAGACACAGGTAAGGATGGAGCAGTTCAGAAGATGATGGAATGATTGGCCTTTGTCTGCTGCAGATTGTGAAGATCCTGAACCTGTACACGCCTCTGAACGAGTTCGAGGAGAGGGTCACCGTGTCCTTCATCAGGAACATTCAGGTAAACTACCAAGATAAAACGATGAGACTCGTCGAACCAAATCCATCCAGAGAAAAGCAGACGAAAGCTACCTGTTTCTGATTTCATCTCATCGTGATAAATGTTTAAAGAGCCGAGCCTCGTTTCTAAACCTTAGTGTAGAATCTCTGCTGGGGGGGGGGGGGGGGGGGGGGGGGGCTGTTATATAAGTCACACCTGTCCTAAACCTGCATGTCACTGGTAACCATGGTAACAAAGACTTAAGTCAAGCCTTGTGAGTGTGACGTTTTATGATAAATGTGACCCCCGCGCTTGTACAGCACCTTTCAGAGACAGAGGACTCCAAAGCGCTTTACACGACAGTGTTTCGTTCACCCATTCACATGCTGGTGGTGATGAGCTACGATGTAGCCACAGCTGCCCTGGGGCTCACGTATGGTTATGTAACGGTGCCTAAATCGCTGTCTTTAAACTAAAAACGTAGAAAAAGTGGCAGAAATCCCTTCAGAACGCCGTATTGTACGCATCCTCGTGTACTGTATCAGAGCACCGTAAAAAAAAATGTTTTTTCTGGTCATTGAACGCCACACTGAGGCTCTTCTAACATGTCCTCAGAACAGCGCAAAAGACAGCGCTTTTTTTATGATGCAGGCCACGCCCAAAGTTTTCTCAGCCTCTTATTTTAAACTGCAATCGCCAGACAGTACTAGTTCATCCCAGATGTTATTTCCTGCTTTCCTGAAGATGCTACTTTATGCTTCAGTTCACCAAAAGGACCTCATCTATAGTACTGATTGTTGCAACATCATTTATTACGGCGACTAGCATTGATATTAATAACAGGAAAACACTGACCTCATTAATAATGTACCACCCTAACCCTAACCCATCAGAATTGTGTCAGTTGCATGTATTCCCCACTAGGGGGCACCCACGCGTAAGCCAAAGGCCACAGGGGAGATTTTTCTAAGAGGGTTTTGCTAATCTGCCGTTTATCTGTTAGGAATGGAAAATGACCTCATCATGCGTCAATTTTCTGTTGAAATGTTAAATAAAATAGTGTGTGTGTGTGTGTGTGTGTGTGTGTGTGTGTGTGTGTGTGTGTGTGTGTGTGTTAACAGATTCATTCCATCAGGTATTTTATCACTTTTTATTTATTTTATTTAACATTTAAACAGAAAATTGACGCATGATGAGGTCATTTTCCATTCCTAACAAATAAACAGCAGATTAGCCAAACCCTCTTAGAAAAATCTCCCCTGTGGCCTTTGGCTTACGCGTGGGTGCCCCCTAGTGGGGAATACATGCAACTGAAACATGAGGAGATGGTGCTGATGACTCTGGGACTTTGACTTCCTTCCTGCTGGAACAAGGTCAGAGCTGGCAGGTGGAGTTTGTTTGCAGTTTACCGACAGTCAGGATCGAGGGAACTCGCGTGGACACAGCCCAGCTCCAGCTGTCCTTCTGTTTCTGTGGTAACCAGGATGTGTCTCTTTTCTGCCTCCAGAGCTGTCTCCAGGAGAGGAACGACCCCCCACAGCTGCTGGTGGACACCAAACACACCTTCCCCGTTCTGTTCCCGTTCACGCCGTCAGCCCTCAGCCTGGAAACGATCCACATCCCAGCTTCGCTCGGCCTCGACTTCCTCGTCAGGGTTTGACCTTCCGACCATCTCTGGGACGAAGCTCAAGGATACGTGCAGGGATATGATTCAGGAGACCAAGCGTAGTTTTCTACATGTCTTTTCTTTTACCAGCTGGCCATGGAGTCATGAGGATGTTTAGTCACGGTACCAAAAGGTTAAAGGTCAGAAGGCTTCAGGAGTTTTCTGTCCCTTAGACACAAGAATCCAGGTTTTTCTTCTTCAATCAGAACTCCAGATTTCTCTCGGGTCTTTTGGGAACTTTCTTTCTAAGCTTTGATGTAATTCCTGAGGCTGTGATTGGACCAGGCGAGGTCGGAGCACCGAGTCTTTGTCCTGCAGAAAAGCACTTGGAGACGTTTCCAGATGTAAAATAGTTTTTATTCCTGATGTTTCTGTAAATGCCGAATTCTTTCTGAAGAACTTGGAGTCAAAACAACTCCAACAAATGAAGTTTGTAGAATTAATTATTACAAATTAAACATTTGTTCCCTTTATTTTTGAAACTTTTAATTGATGACCATTAAACGGTCAACAGCCCCGACTGGCTCTTGTTGTCCTTGTCTGCTTTAGCTCGGGTCTCTCTGAGAACACGCCCCTGTCCTCTGATTGGTCGACTGCGGCAGGGGCGTGTCCAGGGAGTGGCCTGGGGTAGCACATGCCACCCTTAGAGTTTGATTGGCCACCCCAGGTGCCACCCTACTAAGTTCCAGTTTAAATTGACTTTACATTGTCGACAAAATGCTTGGGTTGTAAACTCTAAAAATAGTGTGTGGTAGCATGCACCTTTAACACTGTCTTCTAGCCCAGGCCTACAGAACATTTCTGTATTTATTATTTATTCATACTCACATAAATAGTATTTAGAGTCCCACTCAACTCCAGTTGGTGGCAATAATGCAACAAGAAGTGACTTGCTAACCACCACAAAACTAGAAGATGAATAGAAAAAAATAGTGATTGTGCAATGTGAAACTCCAAAATTCACTATAAAGTAAATAAATAAACGATTTGTGTAAATAAATAAATAAGCATAACCATTGGTGCCACCCATCCATAAACAAGTGCCCCACATGGGCCACCCCATTTTAAAAGTCCTGAACACGGCTCTGGCCTGCGGCTCAGTTAGGAAACATGTCTGTGGTCAGAAGGGGAACCAGAACAATGGTGAATACGTACGTGCACACGAGTAGCACCTCTCTGAGTTCTGGTTCAGGTGGAGGTGAGCACCGCGGCTCTGGGAGACGCTGACGGAGCCACCGGCCCCTCCCACCAGCTGTGTGTGTGTGTGTGTGGGGGGGGGGGGGGGGTCTGGCCCAAGGTCC